TGTGGTGTCTTCCAAATAGAAGAACACACGACGCAGCTTTTCGTCATGGTCCCAGTGGTTGAGGGCGGCCACATGGTCGTATGTTTCTAGCCAGGACTCCGGGTCTTCGAACGATGACCCATGGAAAATTGGTGGTTCTCTGGGTTGATGCATGACCATCGTGGGCTGGGACGCTGCGGTTGTCATTGTCGCTGCAGTCGCGGTCATGGCCTTGGTCTTCCGCGCCTTGTCTTGTAGAAGCCCGTACTCCGGTGGTAGACCTTGCTGTCGGCGGCTTGTTCGCTGCTCTTGGTTGGCGTTGGTGTCTTCTCCGCGACGTGGGCTGGGTTCACGGCTTGACGGGGGCGTCCGGTACATGAACGAAGCAGCACCTCTACCAGATGTCACGGGGTCGTGACGTGGCAGAAGACAGGAGACTTCGTGTTGGGATTTAACTGTTTATTTGGACGAACCTGTGCCCGGTAAACGGAAAGTCCAATTACAGCAGCAGTCTCGCACAGATAGCAGTTTCGGACTGATAGCGGCGAACGGAGCGTCGGCCTTCGATCAACAACTCACAAGCGGCGAAGCGCGTCGGCAGTTATACTCTTGCCGTCGAATGTTCTAGCGTTATCGCTGGCGGTGGCGTAGGTTCCAGAACAATCTGTACCGTTCTCACAGTGGGCGTGATCTTATCGAAATGATCTACTACAATCCGGAACCTTCTCGAAAACTGCAGCCACGGTTTGCGCTGAGAATCGTGTGGTGTTTTGGAACGATAACAAAAACTTGGGAAATGGAACGTGGCCATAGATAGATAGATAGATAGATAGATAGATAGATAGATAGATAGATAGATAGATAGATAGATAGATAGATAGATAGATAGATAGATAGATAGATAGATAGATAGATAGATAGATAGATAGATAGATAGATAGATAGATAGATAGATAGATAGATAGATAGATAGATAGATAGATAGATAGATAGATAGATAGATAGATAGATAGATAGATAGATAGATAGATAGATAGATAGATAGATAGATAGATAGAATAGATAGATAGATAGATAGATAGATAGATAGATAGATAGATAGATAGATAGATAGATAGTAGATAGATAGATAGATAGATAGATAGATAGATAGATAGATAGATAGATAGATAGATGCGCTTGCAGTCACAGAAGTTCGCCAAGAAATGCTTCGCATTTAGAACAAGTCATTCGGTCGCTTCTATACCATGCTTTTGGCGCGTTTCATGAAGTAAGTAGTGGTATTTCATCAGTCCCATTTGCGAAATGAACTTCTGATGAGCTGCGCATGCAACCATGAATGAAATGTGCTGAAATAAGACGTTCATACAGTGAGTGAATATGGGAAGAAAGTGCTTCATTAGTCGTAAGCATGAACTGGAGTGCTTCCCAGGAAGGACCGTCCACTCAGCACAAAGGTTGCAATCTGCAGCAAACACTTCACAGATTAGATGATTCGTCGTAAATGTAATTTTCGCTGCACGAGTATTCATTTTATGTTCATGCAACACAATGATACGTTTCAAAAAGTAGTGTTTTTTTTCTGTTATAGGCGTAGCGAGCTTTTTTCTTTAATGTATTACGTTGGGCAATCGTTGCTTTTTGTGAGCTAGTTTCCAGCGGCATTCCTAAAAAGGTCCGCCAATTGTTCTATGTGAGAAAAATTCTGTAATCCTCATCTTGTGCTAAGTAAAAAGGTCTGGTGAAATCAGCGAGCCGATGCGCGCAGGATCCCCCATAAACATCTCTCTTGAGGGGTAATCTGCCGGTCGTGAGCTTTTCACCATGTAGTTATTAGAGCCGCGAAAATGAAATTTGGCGCTACGCCGAACGGTATCTGTGTAATGCACGCCAACAAATTGGTCAAGGTATATAAGTGGCTACTTCTCTTTTTACGAGAAATTAAGCGGCTTTGTTCAAGCTCCTCTCGAACAAAACAAAGCAACAAAGCATGTGCGTCCCGCAATGCCGTTTACGCGTTTCGAGGATCCAGCTTGCCGATACGAGTGACCAACCTGCTATCAGCAAGTGCACGAATACTAGCGCATTTAAACAAAGAACTACTTCGTACGAAATTTTAGAAACCGTGTTAGGTATGAGACTATCTGTTACGCCTCAAGCAGTACCTTACTTCAAAGGACGTGCGAGAACCACTTCAAATATGGCATGCGTTCTAGAGAGAGGCATGTATAGAGCATCCTCTCCATGTGACTCAAGACCCGTCATGCTTGCTGACCGCAGTAATCAATTTTCACTCTTCGGCAGGAACAACGCTATTGTGCCATTTAATTCAAATTTCCCGCGAAAGACTGGTTGTTATAGCACTGCTTTTTTCTCCCTTGAACTTGCTTCTACTCGCTCATAGGTCCGTGCTACCGGCAGCGGGCCGGCGGTCACGCATCGCTGTTACTTTATCTGGTCGATCGCGTCTCGCGAGTGTCTCCACCTAAAGAAGAGTCTGTATCTTACACCATGACACACACCGTGTACGATTGCAACATCGACAAGTTTTCATCACGTTATCTTTTTTTTTCAAAGCAACAGTCTGTGTGTGCTGTTTACGCAAAGATATAAAAACAAGTATGTTGCTACTAAGTCTTCATACACATTTTCGCTGCACTATCGCTAACAAATACTTAGTACTCGGCACTGCATACTCATGAGCGTTGAAGGCTCCTTACCTCAAGTCGCATAAAGTTATCCACGCTCAGGTAGGTATAGTATGTGCTTAACTAACTACGCTTTTGTTTTGCATAAAACGTTTACGAGCGGCAGCCTTTAAAATCGCTAACCAAGTTAATCCTTCAAAGATAGCGCCACCTGTACTAAATTTAAAATGTGTGAGCAGCTATACCTCCCAAAATGTACGACTAGGCTGCAAAGGAAAGTAGAATAAGTTTGTCACAAATATCACTTCCAGCCAACTTCTTCAAACCAATAAGAACTGGTGCCTATTTACCTTGACACCGCCTTCAGGGCTCTTTTTGTTTCTTATGGGCTGAATGTGAACTAATGCCGAGGGCAAATTCATGAACTGCTTCGTGAAATCATTAGCCCAGTAAAAAAATGTAAAAGAACAAGCTTTATGCAGCTCAACCTCAATAGCAACTCTATGGGGCGAAATACTCCAGAGCAAAAACGTATTATTAAGATGCACACAATAACATAATTCTCAAACAAATTATGAAACTCTCTAGAGCGATGAACAAGTGGTTCAGTTTTTAATGCATTCGCATTATGTAGGAAGTTACAAAAAAAGTGACAACTTTGCCGCAAAGGTCAAGCAATGAACGAGATATCAACAAATTGGAAGGACACGCAAAGAATGACAAGCAGATCTGAACGTTCCAATCCCCTCACCACGAAGCAAAGTACGCGAAATTAGAGCGTGCGCCACCGCGTCGTGACGATCTGGTGACACGCGCTCGTTGCGCCACCTCGATGAAAACACGCTAGTTCCTCGGGATGATCATCGCCAGCGGTAATTGATTTCATAAAGAACTTGCTGTTTGAACTTTGAACGAAATGCTGTTTCGGAGTTCAGTGGCTAACGCCTCACTTTTACAAGCAATAGGTCAGTCGTTCGATTCCGCGTGCTGGAGTCTTCTTCCGGATTATTTTTTTTTCTTGCACTTTGATAATAGATACGTATATATATATTCTGTGAATGACGCCGACGTTTACGCCAGCGGCAAAATCCAGTCGAGAGTGTCTATGTAATTCTTATCGCAATAAAAACAGCTTTTGGGGCCCGCATTTTTACATTTAGGTTCACGTTATAGAGCCCCAAGTGGTTCAAATTTCTGGAGCCTTCCACTATGGCGTTTTTCACAGTGATATCGTAATTTTGCGAAGTTAAAACCTAACAATAAATATACTATACAAAATTAATTATCTTCATGTCTCCCGAAGTAGCACAGCGCTGCCATAGGAACCATAAATCTGCGTATATAAACAGCTGGAAAATAATGTTTTCCGAGAAGTATAGAATGTGGGCCCAGTAGGTGTTCATTGAAAGTTTCCAATAACGCAAAATTGACGAGACGCCAATGGAGACGACAAATACAACAATGCGCTTGTATTATCACTCTTTCTAGATTTCTCGTACATTTCGCCCGTCTGTAAGCTTTTTGAAAGAGTTTTATTTTTATTAACTAACGCTGCACGTTAGTCTCGTGACGAGTGCTTCCTTCTTTTGTTATGCCATTGTAATCATGCAGAGTGCGCAGTTTACAAATACTGGAAGTGGAGGTAGCTTATAGGCCCTCAACTAGTAAAAATAAGATGCACTGACGCTGGCTAAATGTAAGACAAATAGGTCCCACGTGTGTAATCAGTCTTTCTTCTTCTGTGTGTTAGGCTCCTGCGGGGACAGTAGTGATTACTAAATTGCGTCCCTATCATTTACTTGGAAATTGTGCTGGGCAGACAAGCGTGTTAAATGTCTTTCTGTAGGTTGCCTTTTCGTACTGATTATGTGTCTCTTCAAGGCATGTCCAATACAATATCAATGGTGATTTCGCTGTTGTTTTATTGAATGCGTTCGCTTGACTCTCTAGTACATATCAGGTATACCGGTGGGGAGGTGGCTGACGTAATTTATTGTTGTTAGCAGCACCTGTGTGAATACCACTCTTCCTCTTGTCCGTCACGCAATTCGTAGCAGTATGACCAACCAACAAGCTCGCGTCACCACCCTCGTCGTGCTAGGCAGAGTATCAAGTGAACGTGTAAAAAGACACATAAAAAGAAGTGTCATTTTTTTCACCTACCGTTAGCCCACTTCAGACGTATAATCTTCTTGTATTCTATATTAACAACAGTGTCAATGTTCAAGTCGTGATTTTGCTGTCGTATTTCCCGAAAACCTGCATTCAGTTAAACTGAAAGATTTCTCTGTTTAAGCATTTGTTGTAAAAATTGTGGTTATAGCTAGAATGTTGAGCCTGCTGCTACACAGAGCATGCGTGTACTTCTGCCAGGCACCCGCGGAGAGCACACGGCGAGCGAGGGAGGCGTCTACGACGTCTCCAACAAGCGCCGTCTTGGCCTGACCGAGTACGACGCTGTCAGGACCATGCAGGACGGAATCCTGGAGCTCATCAAGCTCGAGAAAGCTGCCTAGAAGCCGAAGGCATCACCCCAAATTTCAGACGCTCATTCGAAATTCAGGGAGCCGAGCAAGCTGACGCCCGTCATGTAGAAAATTTAAGCCATTTGATAAACGAAAGGTTTAGTTCAGAGTGTCACCACCGATTATTTTCATTGAGATCGTCAGCGATGTGCGCTAAATTAAATCTTCTACCGAAGCCATATAAAGCCACTTGTGCTACTAACGTATTATTTATACAAAGGTGTTAAATGGGCGCATGTAGTGTTCTTTGCTACACTTACATTTCTTTTTCAATAACAGCACCAGGTGTTATTACTGCCCTATGTATACGGTTGCGGAAAGCGCTTTACTCATGGTGAAAACGTAGCTGCTGTTTTAGTAGCAACGGTTTGTGTAAATGCCGATAGAAAAAATAAAATACTGATTTAGTTATTGCGCTTCGCTAAATCCTGTGTTCACTGCCAGTGGCATACCAACTTTATCGCGAGGGATGAGCAAAGTTCTCCTCCCTCAACTCGATTGTATATATTGACGCGTGTCTACATGTGGACGATAACGATGATGGGGCGTTTAGTTGGCACGAGGTAGTGGGCCTCTGGCTTCTCTCTAGGCCGAAGAAGACGATCTTGTGACTCAGCTGTTGAGGACACGCTGCTTTCGTCGTCCCAAGGTGTATCTGTGTTTTATTCGCGTTGTACCGCGATACTGGTGGAGGGGCTGGGCCGCAACTCTGTCTGATGCTCCACACGCCCGCTGGGAGCCGCTCATCGAGTCCAGACGTATTGTCACCTGTAGAAACACCGGTGCATCGCTCCAGTCGACGGTTGCGATGTGTCGCGCCAGAGCTCACTCACTCGCCGGAACCTGCTAGGCACCGCACACCTCAACCAATGGCCAACGCAAGGCCGCAACAGGTGCCCCAAGGCAGCTTTCCGCCGCACCCATCTCAGGTGACCCTCTTTCAACCCCTCGTTTATGATCGCTTTAGTGGCGGTGCCCATGAAGACGTTCACGACTGGCTTGACCACTACGAGCGTGTTGCCAAGGTAAATCAGTGGTCGGAACAGGAAAAGCTTTCACGCGCCTATTTCTACCTTGACGACGGTGCTCGTACTTGGTATGAGAATAGAGAAGGCAATCTTTCAGCTTGGCCCCACTTTCGACAGAACTTCGTGGATACCTTCACCAATGTCGATCGAAGCGACCGTGCGCAGTAGTTATTGGAGCTACGGGTTCAAAAACCCAACGAAACCGTTGCAATGTTTGCCGAGGACATGACTCGTCTCTTTCAACGAGCTAACCCGCACATGACGGAAGATAAAAAGTTGAGTTACCTCATGCACGGTGTCAAGGAACAGCTTTTTGCCGGGATACTGCGCAACCCTCCTAGTACTGTGGTTGACTTCATTAAGGAGGCTACGATTATCGAGCGGGCCCTTCATCAACGCTGCAGGCAATGTGACCGCATGTCCTGCAATGTCCCAATCAATGTTATCGCCATGACGTCTGAGAGTCAGAGCTGCTTGCGAGACTTCATTAGGGAGATAGTTCGCGAGGAACTACAGAAGTTGCGGAATCCGGTTGCTGAAAATCCCATCGCGTCGATCGCTAAAGTCGTACGCGACAAAATCCACCAAGCGCTGTCTACGGCTAGTCCTGATGCTCAGCAGCGTCTTATGAGCTACGCTGCCGCTCTCCGACGTCCACCACCCGCTATGCCGACGCTGTACCACCAGGTGCCGATGGCCCCTTCGTATCCGCCGCAAGACCAGACACAGCATCAACCACCCGCACTACAGCCATACAACCAGCCGTCCACAGCCACCCCATGGGCATCGACGCGTCCACCGAACCGGAAAACAGATGCATGGTGCACAGTGGACAGACGTTCACTATGCTTTCACTGTGGAGGTGCAGGACATGTTGCCCGTCATTGCTGGCATCGAGGTGATTCATTCCGTCCTCATCGACTTTGGTTTGACGGTCGACGTGCCAACTACGAATACACTCTGCGCCGTGACAACACCTCTTTCTAGGGAGCCCGTTCTCACTTTGAGGACGACTCTACCACTGCAGAAAAGGCAATGCCTGCTCACTCTCCTGGTCCGAGACGTCGGTCCTGCTCTCTGTCCCGCGCGCATTCGCCTTTGTCGCACCGCCGCACCTACGCGGACCTTAATACAAGAAGGTCACCTAGCCTGCGCCAAGGAAACTGAGAGCGGTGACCTCCGGGGGCAAGGTTGCAGGCCATAAAGATGACGACAAAAAGCCCCCACAGCACGACGTCATACAGCGGTAAGCCGTGAAAACGATGAAATTGTGACTGCTGACCTTAGCGTTCTTCTTGACGGCCAGAAAGTAACAGCTTTAGTCGACACTGGTGCCGACTTCTCCATTATCAGTCAGGACCTCGCCGACAGCCTCAGAAAAGTGAAGATGCCGTGGATGGGTCCTCATATAAGAACGACAGGGGGCTAGTTATTGATGCCCTCTGGAAGATGTAAAGCAAGAATTGACATCAGACATTCTACTTTCACTGCGTCGTTCGTCGTTATCGCCGCATGCTGCAGAGACGTAATTCTTGGCATGGACTTTTTACGGGAATATGGTGCCGTCATCAACATACTAGAAAGCTTGATTACGTTTTGCAACAGTTCGGGCTTACCCAATTCTCCAGAGGCGCGACCAAATCAACTGCGTCTTACTGATGACGATGTGGTTCGCCCCCCGAGGTCATGCACGCTTGTTTCTGTGGCCGCCGCTCCTCAGTTTGACGCCGAAGGAGTCGCAGAACGAATAAGCTCGCTGCTCTTCACCCACGGTATATCTGTCGCACGAGGTATCATCAGAGTTGCTGCTGGACGCACGGCCTTGCTGCTGACCAATTTTAGTGCTCAGCGCCAGCACCTTCCTAAAGACATGGCTGTCGCTTACTTCGACGATGTCGTACATGCCGAAGGCTGCTTGGTGGTAGTCGACGAGTCGCTAAATCTTGATTCAGCTGCCTGTTCTGGGCGTTAGCATTACTTTGCCGAAAGACGACCGACGCAGACTCCTTGAGCTACTGGCGAAATTTCAAGACTGCTTTTTGACAACATCAAGAGTTGGCCGCATGCCTCTAACCAGACATCGAATAATTACGGAGGATACGGTGAGACCTATTCACCAGAACCCTTATCGCGGGGCTCCAAAAGAACGTGAAGCGATACAACAGCAGGTAGACAGAATGATTAAAGATGACGTCATTCAGCCTTCACAGAGCCCCTGGGCGTCGCCTGTGGTGCTTGTTGAGAAAAAGGACGGCAGCCTGCGCTTCTGTGTGGATTACCGGAAGCTAAATCAGGTGACCAAGAAAGACGTATATCCACTACCGCGTATAGACGACTCTCTCGACAAACTTCGACATGCTCGATACTTCTCTTCAATAGACTTGCGGAGTGCATATTGGCAAATCGAGGTGGACCCGAGAGACCGCGAGAAGACCTTTTTTGTGACACCAGATGGGTTATATGAATTTAAGGGCTTGCCATTCGGTTTGTGCTCAGCCCCTCCTACCTTTCAAAGACTCATGGATACCGTTCTTTCTGGGTTGAAGTGGAAAACATGCTTAGTATATCTGGACGACGTCATAGTGTTTTCCGCAACGTTTGACGAGCACCTTGAAAGACTTGAGGTGGTCTTACGAGCCATACAGTCCGTGGGCCTGACGTTGAAGCCTGAGAAGTGTCACTTTTGCTACGAAGACCTGCGATTTCTTGGTCATGTCGTCAGTCATGCTGGTGTTCGTGCCTGATCCTGAAAAAATCGCAGCCGTAGAACAGTTCCCTATGCCGACCGATAAAAAGGACTGTCAGACACTTTCTCGGCTTCTGCGAATATTATCGACAATTTATCGCGGACTTCGCACGCACAGCATCACCGCTAACTTGCCTCACGAGAGAAGACGTCACCTTTGAGTAGAATAACGAAGAGGAAGCTGCTTGTAACGATCTTCGCCAGCGACTAAGAACACCCCCAGTCCTTGCCCACTTTGACGAGAGAACCCCTACGATGCTCCACACCGATGCTAGCAATGTTGGTCTGGGAGCTGTGCTTGTGCAGCAGCAAGAGGGCAGATAAAGGGTAATCGCTTACGCAAGCAGAACGTTAACACGCGCTGAGGCTAATTACTCCACGACTGAGAAGGAATGTCTCGCCATGGTATGCGCGGTTAGCAAATTTCGTCCGTATTTATATGGCCGCCCCTTCAAAGTAATTAGCGACCACCACTCACTGTGTTGGTTAACTAATTTATTTATTTATACATGTACCTACATCGCCCTTACGGGCATTATTGTAGGGGGGAGAACAAGCAAAAGAATACAGTACAGTCGATATACCGAAAAAGATGGTTGCGGATAAAAGACTGTATCGTTTGAAAGAACATAGTCAAACAAAGTGAAACAACAAAGTGAAACAACACTGTCATAAATAAGGCATCAAATTGCAAATACAAAGCAAACGTTGAAAGAGAAGAGTGCTATTGGTAACGCAGGGCAATAAAAACAAAAGAAAATAATTAGTACGGAACGCATCAGAAATGTACAGTAATGATTAGTTCAGCAAAAAATTGTGCAAATTTTTAACAAAAGATAAGGGAGGCGCAGAGACAATTTCCTCTGGCAAGCCGTTCCACTCATGCGTGGTTCTTGGAAAAAAAGGCGTATTTGAATGCGTTGATCCTGGAAGTGTATTCACGCAGTTTTAAAGAATGGTCAGTACGGGGTGACACATAGGTAGGTGGCCTTATATACTGATCCTTGTCGATGCCTGTTTTGTTCATGAATATGCTGTAAAATAGGGACAGTCGTAGGTATTTTCGCCGGTCAGCTAACAGAGGCCATTGCAATCCTGAACGAATGTCAGCTGATCTTATGGTAAAGTTATAATTGCTTGCCACAAAGCGTGCTGCGCGTGCCTGTACACGCTCCAGGGCTTCTATATTTGGTTTTGTTGAGGGGTCCCAGGCACTG